GGGCAGCAGGTCCAGGCCTGACCCAGTGCAGTTCTGGGCGCAGCACCGACAGAGGGTGGCACCTTCATGGATCTGTTAGTGACATCACAGGTGACTTCTGTGGCACCAGAGAGAGGGGAGCAGATTCCACACTGAGCCAACCACAAGGAAGGGAAAAGTGGGGGGTCCCAGAGGGGATCTGGGCACCACGGAAGTAACAGGTAGAATTCTGAAGGACCCATAGTAACCATGAGAACAAGTGCAGAACGAGTCTGTGAGTCTGACGTAAGCTCCATAAGACTTAAAGATGTGATTAGCAGAAAGCAGTATTTACAAAAAACAAATCTGTAGATTGCATATAGAACCTGGAAACCTGGCCAAGCCCCAGTCTGGCAAGTGTCAGCCAACAGCCTTATTACCTCTTCACACAAGTCTTTTCCACACTGATGGTCAAAGATTCTTGGGGACTGGACTGAGGGATTCTTAGCATAGATGTATTAGAGCTGTTGTGAGTGACTGACTCATGTCCACATTACTAGACAATTCCATCACCCATTTAAGCATCTTAATGGCACCTGCACTGTCACACTTAAATTGTCAAAGATGTTATCTACATATAACCGAAACAAACCATGAGCAGGCATTGTACCTGCACTCTAACCTCTCCTGTTTCTGCCAAAATGATTATTAACATGGAAAATGCTCCTTTATGATGTGTTTTATGTAGCTTATACTGCACCCTTCCCATTATAAAGGTGGCCATTTGGGAGCTCAAGTGATGTTTCCAGAATGCAAATCTGATCAAGTCATTTGCCTCAGAAGAAGGTCCTCATTTCCTGAAATGGCTTATAGGGCTCTGACTAGGAGGCCCCCACCCATCACTCAACACATACCCTTGCCCATCGCAGCCTTCTCATAGTGCCCAGTGTCATTCTGACCCAAGTGTCACGACTGCTCTGAAGTCTGTCTTCCCTGCTTATGAAGACAAGGACTGAGGCTCTTAAGCTCTTTGGTATTCATTTTATATAATAATACACACTGCGCTTGGAACTTAGGTGCTCCAGAAATATTACCTTCCAAAATGAACCAGGGTTATCAATGAGTAATGATGTGACAAGAATCTTTTAAAGTCATTCACCCTTGGGCAGCAAATCTGGGGTGGACTGGAGGTATATGTGCTTTTTTGCATTGGATTGAGGGTGGGCTGGGTGCCTCATTGAACTCTGCTTTTTCTACTGACACAAAGGAAAAAACAAGTGCCACCAATGGAAAGAAACGAAAGGAGAAACTTCCCCCAGAAAGGCCCCAGAGCAAGAAGGGTATGACACTCTCAGGAAGAGAACCAAAGGAACACAGGGCATGAAATCAAAGACCGAGAGCTGGTTGAGCATCAGTGTAATTGCTACCAGAGGAACTGAAGCCTCTTACCAGCTGCCCTTTTCTGGTGCCCTAGGTAACTTACAGCCACTCAACAGGATGACCACAGACCATGATATAATATCCAGGAGTATTAAGGTAGGAAAACCATGTAACTTATCATCCGACCAGGATACTATGGAGCGTGAAATGGGAAGCTGTTGATGGTTACACAAGGACAACAGAGGTGAGCCAGGACTGGGCCAGCCATACCAGGATTATAGTCTCCCCGTTAATCCAGACACTCCAAGGACAGCTTGGGAGAAGGAGCTAGATTCCTCAATGCAGAAGATCAAGGGGAGATTTCCCCCCAAGAGTGGGTCTCCATTAAGTCTTCATTTCTGCCATTCCATTCTGTTCCTGAAAAAAAAATGACAGATTTAGAAGTCAAGGGGAAAAGCTGTACTTACCAGTAAACACACAGACAAATCTCTCAGTACCACTATCCAGGTGGTGATTTCTTTTTTCACTTCGTCTTTTAACCGTGCGGCAATTTCACATGGAGAAGGCTATGCCGAACAGAGAGACCCGAGAAAAGTCTGATGTTCTAGGCCCCACTGATGCACAAGGACTCGGAATCTGGTTTGATGCTATTTATTGGCCAGGGGGGAGTCTCAGGCTTCCCTGCGCATTAAGGTGAGGATGTGAATGCGTTTAGGAAAGCAGCAATTTTGCCTGAGTCACTGTGACATTGTACAACCAAACACTGATTTGGAGGCTCAGTGTTCTTGAAATAAGAAAGAAAAAAAAAAAGACTTCGGATAAACTCAGAAGAGTGCTTAAGTATGAAAGGGAATAAAACCGACAGAAATGAAAACAAAATACTAGCAGAAAACACCTAAGAAAAAAGTAGAGACTTTTTGGTTTTTGAAATCAAGGTGAAGGAGATTTCCTCCCCACCTCCTTTTTTTTGTTGTTTCTGTTGTTGTTATCGTTTATTAGTCTTTAAGTTTTTTGGAGCAGTTTTAGGTTTTTAGAAAAATGGAGCAAAAAGACTTCCCATCTACTCCCTTTGCCCCTTCCTCTGAATTTCCCATTAACATCTGGGATTAGTGTCATACATTTGTTACAAGTGATGAGCCAACACTACTACTACTACTACTACTACTACTACTACTACTACTACTACTAAATTTGTAATTACTTAAATACATTGTTATTAACTAAAATCCATAGTTTACATTAGGGTTCACTCTTTGTGCTGCACGTCCTATGTGATTAGAAAAACGTATAAGGACACGTATCCTCCTATATGGTGTCATATTGAACAGTTTCATGGCTCTCCATGCTGGACACTTGGGTTGTCTTCCTGTCTTGGACATTATGAATAGTCCTGCAATGAACCTGGGAGGACAGATATATCTTCAATACACTGATTGTATGTCCACTGGAAATGTATCCAGAAATGGGATTGCTGGTTCTGACAGCAGTTCTATTTTTAACTTTCTGAGGAATCTCTACTGTTGCCAGTAATGGCTAAACCAGTTTACATTCTCACTGGCTGTGCATAAGTTTTTCTCCTTTGTTTACATCCTTGCCCACACTGGTTAGTGCTTTTCTTCTCGAAATCGCCATCCTAACAAGTGTGAGGGGCTATCTCGTGGTGGTTTTGATTTGCATTTCCCTGATGATTAGTGATGTTGAGCGTCTTCTCATGTACCTGTTGGCTATTTGGAGGTCTTCTTTGGAGAAATGTCTATCCAGGTCCTTTGCCCATTTTTTTTTTTTTACTGAGATATAATTGACATATAATATTGGCTCTCTGAAGAGTGAAAATAGCTGTGCTCTCCCCATCCCGGCCAGGGTACCCTAAAAAGCTCCCCATCCTACAAAGGGGCTTCGGAGAATGACTCCAGTGTCCCTCCCAGCTTTGCTCTCACAGGCTGACTTCGTCACTGTCAATCCAAGCCCTCCTCTCCTAGCCCCACACCCACACTGGTGTTTCTGAAGGCTCCTCTGTGAAACTTATTCTCGGCTTTGACTCTAAATGATGACCATCGCCGGCTCAGTCCCCATCGCTTCAAGTGGGCCTTGGGGTTCGAGGACTGCCTGTGAGCAGCCATGCATTCTGAGTCTTTTTAATAGATGGAGGCCGAGACCAGGGAGTGCCAGGCAGCTCGGCCATGGTCATGGCCACGGTACTTGGTCTATGTGATGCCCCTGAGCTCCTGCACAGCACATGCCAGGTTCACGTAGAAGGATCCAGAATTCACTGGGCAGGTTCCAGTCATTGTTTCCTTAGGATGTTTAAAGTGAAAAGTAGATGCCAAGATACAACTCCTATTTTTCTCCAGCCATCATTGTTGCTTCGGGCCTCTCCACTGCTCCACAGTTAAACTCTCTGTGCCCGGGGACCATTGGGTTATTCTGTGAAGTAGGCCAAGGTGGCTTCTTGGCTTTATGCCATGTGACAAATGGGCTTATAAAGGATTGCTAGGATGGTATGAGCAGCAAGATAGCTCCTTTATAATATCATTATTATTAGAAAATAAAGTCAACCCCATCCTTCAATGCCTGGATGGGGGGCGGGGCGGGGGGAAGCCATCACTGGCTGCCACCACTGTCAATAGCAAAAGAAAGTGTCCCATCACCTCAGGGGGGAAGCAATGGCTGATTGCATCTTAGAAGACTGCCTCTTCCGAACCATGAGAGACTCTTGAATGCTGACAAAAACTGAGGACTGATGGATGGGGGGGGGGGGGGGG